TGTTCTTTAATTTCTTCTACAGTCGAACCATAACCGATATCCAAGGCGGCGACTTGAGATGCGTTTGTATGCAGTATGTTCAAAACCTTCCAATCCTGGGGAGCCTAAGACAAAATATATAATATAATTTCTATAAGATAGCTATACAAAAGTCAGTAGTGGCTCACTTTTGAGTTATCTCCTAAAGCCTTTGCTAATGCTTGCGTTTCATAGAGAATCTTAGCTCCATCCTGTCGAGTCAACTGGTCGGTGCCCAAGATAACGAGTGGTTTTTTAGCCTCTTTCAGAGTTGCACAGAACGGATGCGAGCCGTTTCGTAATTTTGTTATTATATCAAAAGATTCTCCTAAATGCTATATAAAAAAAATTACATTTTGTAAAATAATCTACACATTGTTTCTCTAAAATAAATAAAAGCTGATAGTACCTCATGTTCATATGTCAAGTCTACATCCGGGCCAATGAAGGCAATTGTTTGTTCACCATGTAAGTAGCCCTTCCTGAGACGTGTGTTTATGAGTGGTGCTTCATATCTTGGATTCGTACCGATTAGTATTACAATATCTGCGTCTTCAATTGCCGCAATAGTATTGTTTAGAAGATAGCTACTTCTGAGATCAATACCCGATCCGTCTTTCGGGAAGCATTGTTCTGTGGCTAGTTCCTCGCTGCCCAATTTGTTTACTAAATCTTTCATAGCAATAAGGGCTTCTGCGTCTGCCAATTTCCCAGCAATCGCGGCGCATTTGTCCGCTGATATATTCACTAGAGGTCTAGCAGCTAATCAATATAAAGAATGTTACTGAACGATTTTATCACATACGAATCTGTTAAGTGTACATGCGTAATAAATACTGATCAATCCTACCTGCAATAAGTGCATCTTCCCAATCCACAGCTTCTAATTTTCCATTGATCTTCATCATTGGGGTAATAAGTCTTTGCCTTTTGAGTCCATCATATGAGAAACGAGCTTTGTCCGAGAGCCATTCCTCGTTTACCTCCTAAAAAAATTATATCATTAATTATTATTGGTAATGTGTAACATAATTCAGCATCTTTTACATTCTTACTGCATATATATAATATATTAAAAGAATTTACCTCATTTACTCTTGGTAGTATTCTTAGGACCTCTCCGGTTCTGTGAGAGATAACTATATTGCTACCAACAGCATCATGAACATCAATACTGTCAGTACGACGCGTCTCCCAAGGACGAGCAACAAACGCATATGGCTTACTAGTTAGTGCACCCACTGGACAGAGATCGATGATATTGCCAGATAATTCTGATAAGAACATTTTCTCGACATATGTTCCCACCTTTAAAATCATTATATAATCTATATATTTATATATATATAT